GAAAAAAAAAAGGGGAAAGGGATAAAAAGCACAGGGCAGGTGGGAAAGCAAGCTGGGGGGGGGGGAGGTGTGACTTTGGGGAGGGCAGGGGACGAGGTGCAGCACTCTGTGCCCTGCTTCCAAGCACTCCCAGCATCTCAGGAGAGCGCTGGTTTATTAAAGTGTTTCACTTTTCAGGATTTCTTGCCATATTTATTAGGCGCTGCGCCCCGGTGAGCACATTTTGTAGAATCGTAGAATCATCATAAAATCGTTTGGGTTGGAGAAGCCCTACAAGATCTCCAAGCCCAACCGTTCCCCTACCCCTGCCATCCCACCACTAAACCCTGTCCCTAAGCTCCACGCCTGCCCGGCTGTTAAATCCCCCCAGGGGTGGGGACTCGACCCCTTCCCTGGGCAGCCCCTTCCAGCACCTGACAGCCCTTTGGGGAAGGAATTTTTCCCAATGTCCCACCTAAACCTCCCCTGGTGCAACCTGAGGCCGTTTCCTCTTGTCTTCTTCTCCCAAGCCTTGGGCTGTCAGCAGGGTGAGAACAGCGCTGTCTTTGCGGAGACAACCAAAACCCGCCATCAGGCAGACTCTATCCGGCACAACTCTTGACAAACGCATCTTTTAAATGCCCCAAGACTCACAGCGTTATCCTCAAATCCCCACTCCAAGGACACTCATTCCTCAGTTGATGGCGGGGTGTGCACGTTGATGCTCATTTATACATTTACACGCACGTATACTTGTTTATACTTCCTAACACACCTTTAGATGCCAAACTCCTGGTGTATCCCACTGGGATCCCTGTCTGCAAATGGGGCTCTGGAAGATCCAGCTGAGCTCTGGTTGAACTCATGGTGGAAAACTGAACGATGCCGTTTATAACGGCAGCTGGGGCAGATGCACAGGAGCTGTAGAATAAGTGGACAGCAGGATGTTTCTTGAATTTGCCAGGCTTTTGTACCCGGGGTTACACGGGAGAGGAGTAGCCCCGACCCGGGGAGGAGTGCAGGTATCTCCTAGCGCGTCCTTCAGCGAGGCTGATGCCGATTAACTTCTGATTTTGCTTTTACTTCATCTTCCTTCACAAAGCGCCTCCAAATCCAGAGCCCAGTTACGCCGCCTTGTAATCTGAGCGGCACGGCGGTTTTGTCCCCCTGTTCCTCCACCCTTCCCCTGGTGTCCACCAGCGGTGGCCCCTGCAAAGCCCCGAACCCTGCTGACGTGGTTTGCCTTCCTGCGAGGCACCTTCAGGTCCACCCGCCCCACACCTCTTTGGGACGGGGGTCTGGCCTGCTCCGGGGGCTCACCCGCAGCCACCCCCACCCGTTCCTGGAGGGCAGGACATGGACGGCAAACCGGGCAGGGGAAGAGATTTTGGGAGGTTTTCTGGCTCTGCCCTCAGCCCCTGAGCAGGATCAGCTCCACCTACGCAGATCTTTATTTCTTCTTACGGAGAGAAATGAGACGAATTTCATAAACATGTTCATAATTATAACAGCATAAGCTCATGATTTAAATGCAAGGTGAACCACGGGTCCTCCCCGGAGCCCGGACGGGCCTGACGCTGCGCTCCCCAGCGCTGATAGAAGCCAGCTGAGGGCATTAAGTGTGAACCTTTATCTCTGCTGACATGACATATTATTAAAAAGTATTTCAAGTAATCTTTTGTTTCCTTAGCATTGCAACACATTTCAAGAACTTGGCCAGGGATCAACCAACCCCTTTTTAATTTCCTACAATGAAAAATAAAACAAAAATAAAGCCCAACTGAGATGATATAATCAGGAAGATTTTGAGGGTTTAGGTCAAATTAATATGTCAGAGAAGGGTTTTCAGGGGACTTGGAGAGCTTTAATCTGTCAAAGACTGACTCAGACCCTTCTTGGACTTTGTAATCTTATTGTCTTTACCAAATTATCTGATGCTATGTCATGATTAGCGTCAGCAGAAAATCAAGCAAATAATCATTTGGCATAAAGTTCAGAATAACGAACTGAATTTTTAAGGCGAGTGCTATACAATATGCCCGAAGTGTTTGCTTAACTTGAAAATGATCTTTTAATACCATCCATTAACCTGTTAAAGCACACAGGTAAATTCCAAACATAGGCTTTTCCGAGCGCGGTGGGGCAGACTTTAGGAGATGGAACGGTGTTCAAGCTGTGCTCCATTTGGCCAAGATTTACTTTGCATTTACCAAAACAAAACCAAAAAAAACCCCAACCCCAAAGCCAACCAAACCTGACTTGTGGCTTAAGGGGAATATTTTAATGTCACCTGCACTCAATTACGCATCTAATACCTGTATCTTTTATCCCTCCACCTGATAAGTCATAGATTTATGTAAAGCTGCAATTAGAAATTTGGCGCTAGGACATTTTCAGTTCTAATGGATAAACTCGAAGGATGGTTTTGTTCTCTGCTTCGCAAATTCTCAGCAAGAAAATACCTTTTTTTTTTTTTTTTTAGCATTTGGCAAAATGCTGGTCTCCAAACCTGCGGTTTCTAATCAGGGAGAGGCATCGCCGGGCATCGCTAAACAAGCCCTGGCTCCCGTAGCACGATCGCCTCGCCAGCCGTTAGCCAGAGGCCGCCCGCTCAAGGCTTGGAATGGGTGTGGGTGCATCCCTCTCCCCGCTGGGTGCCTGTAACCAGGGCTGCGCGCTATGCGATCCTTTTGGGTGGCGTAACTCCTCTTCCCTCGCAGGGACCCAGCCGGGGCCAGCAAAGCAGCGAGCCCCGGGCCGGTCCCTTGCCCCCCCGTGCTCTCCCCTCCCCAGCCTCGGTGGCACCAACCACATCTGCCCTTACAGCTGCCTGGCTCAAAATCTTTCCCTTCCAGTACAAATATACTTTAGGATTGCTTTAACCATGTTTGCGCATGCTACTAATTTTTTATTCCGGGACTCACAGTCCAGTTTGTGGGTTTTTTTTCAGTTTCCCAACCTTACCGTTATTAATAAATAAATAATCTTTTTTGTTTTTTCTGATCCCAGCCTATTTGCTTGTCATCTTGTAAATATAAATGTACGTGCTGCCTCAAATCCAATAGGGATAAACCTGATGCTGAGGAAATGTAAGCTGATATCTGGTATTCCAATGTGCAAATAGCATCATTTTCTTGGAAGGAAAAAAACCCCAAACTTATGGATGATACAGTGTGCCACAACCAGCTGCCACCGTAAACCCAGGAAGACCTCCCCTGGAGCCCTGCGTCCAGCTCTGGAGCCCTCAGCACAAGGAGGACATGGACCTGTTGGAGCGGGGCCAGAGGGGGGCTACTAAAATGATCCGAGGGGCTACTAAAATGATCCGAGGGCTGGAGCCCCTCTGCTCTGAGGCCAGGCTGGGAGAGTTGGGGGTGTTCAGCCTGGAGAAGAGAAGGCTGCGGGCAGAGCTGAGTGCGGCCGCTCAGGGCTTCAAGGGGGCCCAGAGGAAAGGGGGGGACAAGCTTTTTAGCAGGGCCAGCTGGGACAGGACAAGGGGGGATGGCTTTAAACTGAAGCAGGGCAGGTTTAGACTGGATCTAAGGAAGAAATTCTTTCCAGTGAGGGTGGTGAAACCCTGGCAGGGGTTGCCCAGAGAGGGGGTGGAGGCCCCATCCCTGGGAACATTCCAGGCCAGGTTGGCCGGGGCTGTGAGCAACCTGATGTGGTTCAAGGTGTCCCTGCTCCTGCAGGGGGGTTTGGCTGGGGGACCTCTGGGGGTCCCTTCCAACCCAAAACATTCTCCAATTCTATGATTCTATGAAAGGGGTGGAAGTTTTGTCATGGGAGCATGTTAAAGCTAGAACAAAGCAGTTTTTAAATGCTCTGGCTAATACGCAGGCTGCAAGTGGGGTGGACGTGGCCGACAGCCGAATAACCCTTCCATGGGCTTGAACAGCGCCCGTTTGGGTTCTACAAGAAGTGGAATTTGCAATATTCAACTTCAATTTTTGTAAATGTAACTCCCACTTTATACGAGTTATTAGCTAATTACTCATTAACAGATTAACAATTTTTTTTTTAAAATGCAATCTTTTAAACAGAAACTTCTGAAGTCTAAGTAAATCTTGGCAGAAAACACCCGTAGCAGCTTCTAACAGCGCTTAGGAGGTTGTTTTCCCTTACTCAAACGTCCAGTCCCATAGGAAAGCTTTAATTTCATTCCCCATCTTATTTTGCCCATAATGAACTTTGAAAACCCTCTGCTCTTATATCCAAGTCCCCCCTTGGGCTGTGTCCCCCCTTGGGCTCCAGCACCTCCGGGCCAGCCCTGCAATGGCCGAAGCAGGAGCCCATGGCACAGTCCAGCCTGCTCTTGCTCTCAGGAGCACCCTGAATTAATTTCATGGCAAAAATGGCAGGTCCGGGGAAGAAATGGCCATCTTAAGGCAGTGGACAGCCAATGTTGAAGTCTCTCGGTTGGTTGACCTCCTAAGGAGGTTCTTCACCGCCACGTGTACTGCATTAGTTAAAGACATGCTAAAATAAATCTCTGTTATGTTATTTTATACATAAGCCCCCAAAAGGGCTGCATAGGGAATAGGATTAAACTTTAAGGAAATTATTCGGTGAAGTAAAAGCAATATATACAGCATTTGGGGAGAGTTAAATCAAATTAGGGGACTCGGATCACTTCATGAGGAGAGGAGGGTTGGCAGCGTTCCCCACCACAGCCAGGGAAGACAAGCAGGGGTCAGTGATGTCCACTCGCTGGTGGGGTAAGGACAAGACCACTGTGTGCATCTCCAGCACCAAGACGTGACGTGTCACCACAAGGACCTTTATGGAGCATCCCTGGCTGCAGTTGCAATCCACGTTGAGAGCTTTCCCGAGACGGCCAACGTGGCTGGGGCTGCGTGATGGGGGCTTCTGTCAGATATCTCACTGCAGCCTCAATATATTTTCTGGAAAAGCAAAATTTCTTGGCTCTGTGCTGCGAGGAACATTTTTAGGGTGGCCTTTCCTAGCCCGGCTGCTGGCTTGTGGCTGGTGGTTGAGGAGAAGCTGCTCCATCCCTTCTCCAACCACCTCCACCCGGAAAGCCCCTGCCAGCCTGGCCATCCCACCAAGCAGCTTTCCCATCACCTTTCCTCCCTCGTGACTTCTCCGGAGACGAGAAACAAGACCAAGACCCCATCCCTTCCCCCTCTAAGTGAAGGAAAAAATTCCTGCCGTGTTGAACTTTTCTCATAATACTTAAAGAAAATACTTAAAGAATGTGTAATAATGGGGGATTTAGAGAGAGCAAAATCAACCACATGGATGGTGCAGAAAACCTTTAGAATGGCACTAAAATGTATCCCGTCCAGCTTCGCCACAGGGAAGAGCTCCAGGGGGGCAGAGGGTGACCCCACGCAAGCCCTGTCCCCAGGGCCACCCCTGCTCTTCTCACCGGTGGAGTATAGGGAGGGAAAAGCCAGAGGTCTCGGTTTGGCTGCCAGGGAAACCACACAGGAGATGTGAAATTAAAATAGTTAAGGGGAAGTTGATACCGAGTTATTCTATATTCCCGGGCAGGAGTGCAGCTGGGCAGACCCGGGGCCGCCTTTCCTGCGCTCCCCGCACAGCGCCGGGACCGGGCAGGGTCCGGCC